TTAACAAATATCCGATGAGACAGTTAAACTTTCACCTTTTGTAAATAAACCCCGACACAAAATTTAACAAGTGCCCGTCCGACAGTCTTGTGAATGCTATAAAAAATTATTTGTTAGAAAGGTAAACAAAAAGCTGGAATTACAAGGGAGAATTTCAAAATTCGGAGGAATATTAATACTATCTGATTGGTATCTGGTTGAGCATCAATGTTGATGTCTCCCGCGCTCTGAAAGGTTTCGAATTGTTACCTGAAGACAAGGGAAAATCAATTGGTATTCATTATTTTCTGTCGCTTATTTTTATGTTTGTTCAGTAAAGTGTTTGTTATCTGAACATGGGTTTGTTGTCTGATCATAAAAATCTTTTGCGAAAGTGTTCGTTATCCAATTTGTTCATTAACCGATCATCCACTATAGTTTTTAATTAACAGTAGTAGTAATATAGCCTGATATAATTTAGAAATTGTTTGACTAAAATATTCAATTTAGGAATTGTTGATGCTTTCCATAATACTGTTATTACTGTATTTTCCTGACAATTAAAGTTTTATTTTTAAAAAATACTTTGATCTTGATTTTATTCGCTTTTGTTATATTTACACTATTTAATAACCAAGTATGTTTTTGATCTCTGATGGATCTGCTGCAGTTGTTTACAACGTATTTGAACACATTATAAGTAACTGAAGCAGATGCATCAAAGAGATTGAAAAGAGCTGGAGTTTAAGGTGTGCGCTTTATTTGAGTTAATTCTTTAGTTTGTATAATCCAATAAACAATTAACTAAAGAATTAACTCAAATAAAGCACACACCTTAAACTCCAGCTCTTTTCAATCTCTTTGATGCATCTGCTTCAGTTACTTATAATGTGTTCAAATACATTGTAAACAACTGCAGCAGATCCATCAGAGATCAAAAACATACTTGGTTAGTATTTAGCATGTAGTGTTTTAATTCCTTTACACATGTTTCTATTGTATTTGAATGGGACTATTAAAAACCATATTTTGTCAATTTTAATGGAATACTAGGGTGCATATTCCATATGTTCAGATGACCTAAAGTTTCTTTTCTTAATGATTAGTTGTTTTTAATTTTTTATTTGATTTTATTTAGGTATTGCTGTTTCCAAACTTTTTTACTAGTGATGTAACTAATATTCGGTTACTATTCGGTATTTGGCCTGTTTTTCGCTATTTGGCCAAATACCGAATATTTAATCACTATTCAGCCAAATACCTAAAAACAGGAGTAAGAAATAACAAAAACACAGTAAATTAATCATTTTGCTTTTTAGATTTAATGTTATCGTGTTAGTGTTGTTTGTTTATATTTATTTATAACTTATAACATGCACGAAATAAAAAAGAAAATAATATTAGTCACATGTATTCACAATTTATAATTACAAAGATCAGCACACGTACACACCTATTCGTTCAAGAATCATCGCACATCTGAGGGTCTGATCCTGCCTATCCTTCTTTTTAAGTGCTCATCTATGCTCTTCCCTTTCTCTTTCCTATATTGCTCTAGTCCATGTATGCCTATGTATACATCATAATACGTGCTCACGATACTTTCTATTCGTCACTTTTCCGTCGTAGATTTCCCATTTTACAATTACATGGCTCATAGCCTGGTGATAACGGAGAAAAGAGACAGATGAGACGTCGGTATAAGTCACAGTTATGATTTCACAGATCGAGACAGCTTGGTAGCCCGAACGGCCCCAAACTTTTGCCCGTGCACGCTAAGTGACTTTCATTACAAGTATTTAGCTTTCCGAAGTCTATGACAACAATTGTTTGGCATTGACGGCCACGAATTTCGCACCAATAAGCTGCCTCGACTTGTTCGATTATGTTATGAACTCAATTTCATATTTATTTTCACATTTTCACTTCGCAGTACTTCTCTGTTCTTTTTCTGTTATTTACACGTGTAGGTCATTTCATTGTTATCCACATTTGATATCATCATTTATCACATACTGCCATGATGCTCTTGTCTGTCCGCTACAACTGTCAAGAATTAACACAATTGGCGAAGCGCAGTGACAGTGGGCCATTATAGAGCAGGCCATAGAGCATATCATTATAGAGTGTTGCAACGAATAGTATATTCGGCCTCAGGCCGAATATACTATTCGTTGCAACATTATTTTTTATATTATCCTATCATTATTAAAATTTTTTCCATTTGTTTTGTTTTTATGATATATGTAAAATTCTAAAACAACAAAAATTCAAGAGAATATTTAATATATTTTATCAGTATTATCAAAACTGTCTAACAAAACATTTTTGGCATAAATTAAATTTACTTGTAATTATCTATCTGTTATTACTTATGTTAATTTCTTAATTATACAGTAAATAATTAATAACTGCAATTTACAGTAATCTTTAGTATGTTCAATTAATTTTTTTATGAAATCACATTGGTCTTTAAAAATACGGTAGAGCGTTGATTATCCAAATCAATTGAGCTTAACATCAATTTTCATTGATGTTAAGCCTAACGAAAATTTTTATAATAATAATCATGACTATTGTATCTTTAAAAATTATTTCTTTATTTTGTACAAATAAAATAAATATATTAAAAAATATAAAAACACACAAAGGAAAATACCTAATCCTAATAGAATTTTTATGCTGTTTTCAAATATGTAAGCAATTTTTCTCCATCATGTTTTGTTTTTTGTGACAGCCAATTTAAATGTAAAATATATTTATTTAGACAACATGCATACACTTATTTATTTATCTTGTCTAAAATGGCAAGATGTGGAGCTTCTGCTTTGTTTGGCATTTGGAGAATCTCTCTTGAGTGTCCAACAGTAATCAGCAAGCATTCTTGAATTCCACTGGCCCAGATACCTCTTTTCCATGATAGAGATGTCTTGATGGAAATGCTTCCCATGTTCATCACTGACAGTACCAAGATTGTCGGGGAAGAAATTCAGGTGGGAATCCAAGAAATGCATTCTGAGGGACATATTACATTTCCATATCTTTATAAGATTGTAAGAGCCCATTCATAATTTTACAGTAATTTGGAGCTTTGTGATTATCTAAGAAATTTTGTCCAACATCTTTAAATGATTTCTATGCTGGCTTTTCAACTATGCTTAACAAGCTTTCAAATTTATAATCTTTAATTAAAGTGCTTATTTGTGGGCCTACAAAAACTCCAGCTTTGATTTTGCATTACTTATATGAGGAAGTTTTCATTCAAATAATGAAAACCAGCATTGTTTACATTCATTGCCTTGACAAAGTTTTTGAAAAGTCCTAACTTTATATAAAGTGGAGTAGAAGAATCGTGTCAGCATTGACTAATGAGACATGAACGATATTTTTCTGGCCAGGAATAAACATTTCATGCTTTGGCCATTCCTTCTTGACGTGATGATTTTTTTTATCTCTGTTGTTCCACTCACACAAGGATTAACAAAATTTAGTATAGCCAAGCTGCAAACTCGTTAATAATGTGATGACTTTTAAATCACAACATATGATTCAATTGTACTTGTGATAATGAATTTTTTCAAGTAAGAGTTTCATATTTTCATAGATTTCTTTCATTTTAATTGAATAAGCTAATGGCGTAGAAGGAAATTTGTTTCCATTGTATAAAAGCACAGCCTTAAGATTAATCTTAGACGAATCAATGAAAAGTTTCCATTTTATGATATGTTTATGATCAAGTGCATCCATCACAGTACTAATATTATTGCAATAAATTAAACCACTTTCTTCGGAATATCTTATTTGATTACAAAAGAAACACATCTTAGTTGTCTGATGAAGTAAATTCCAACTTGTCAGTTGAGAAACTAAAAGTTCAGTCTGTTTTTTAGACACGTTCAGATTCCTAATAAGATCATTTAGCTTACCTTGAGTTAATAAATGAGGTTCACAAGTAGAGGCACTACAGTCGCTAAGGGGTTATCATGTGATTTTTGATTTAATAGTTCGGTGTTCATTTTGTGTCCAGGTCTGGCTGACATGGGATGTCGTGAATTGGACAGTTTGGTCGGATTGTTGATACTTTCCCTTGATGTTATGACTCTCCTTACCTCATAAATTTAATCAATTTGATAGTTCTCCGTCATTAATAATCGTGTATTTGGACTGTGGTTTCAAATAAGTCCCAACAATCTATGGATTGTCAATGGGAAAGGCTACGTAAACAATGTTATTTATTAGAGTGTCACGAGTGTTCGAGGTAGGAGAGGGAAAAAAAGAAGGAAGGGAGTTTTCCTCCCTGTTTGACCTTCGGTGGCCGATGGTTGGTACTTAATTAACACGATCTTGCTTTCCCTAATTAACTAAAAGCAGATCAGGAGGAAAGTGGGAATGAAAAACAAATGAGGGGGGTCGAAATCTCACACAACAAAATAAGGAAAGTAGTTGGTGTAAATTTGAAAACTAAAGCAGTGGACAGGGAAAAATGGCAAAGATTACAGGAGACCTTCATCCAGCAGTGGATTGACAATGGCTTATATCATGATGATGATATATGTTAACATATTATAACTTGCATAAAAAAGTCTTCCACAGCATTTATTATGTAAGTTAATGACATTTTAGGACAAAAGTAAGAATTTACTGTTTAATTTAATGCCCTCTAATGATCTAATATGAGTTTGCAAGCTCTCAGTGTACTTCAATCAGGGACAAAGTCCTCCTAGTTCATGAATAAACTTTGACATGCTGCATAAGAATAATATCAATTTTTCAGTGAAAATTTTTACATTTTGTAGTACTTACTTACATTAAGTTTTTTTCCTTTATTGACATTTTAACGACTATGAGATTTATGTATTTTTTACAGTATTTATGTACTGTACATGAATATATAGTTATTTGATATATGTATTTTATTCTTTAATTAAAAGTTTTTAATATATTAACATCATAAATATCATTATATTATTTTTATAGGTGCATTTATAATGAAAAATATTCTTTTTTAATTTTTATTTTAGATTCTCCCACAAATAAAGCATGCATAGAATATTTAATATCTTTGTACTTAGTTTGACCATATGTATATTATCTGATGCTCATCAGAAAGCAGATGTAGAAGATAATGAATTTGCTGAATTTGAAGAATTTGATGATGAAGATGAAGAAACAAGAGAATCTATCACAAAATTAAAGCCAGAAGTAAAACCATCAACTGTTAATCTTCAAGATGATGATGATGATGTGAAAATAGAGGTATAAATAATTTTGTAAAATGTAAATTATTAAGTAAATATAAATGAATTTTTTGTTTATGTATGATTAATAATTTTGTAAATTTTTATCAAAGATGGTAAAAGGTAGCTTGTTATGATTTGAGAATATTTTACAAAATGATTAACATATTTTTTAAATAAAAGTTTTATTTTATAATTGTCAATAAAATTTACAAATATATTTATTATATTTGTGTGTATTTATATTATTACTTAGGAAGATGTTGAGGAATATGATCATTTTCAAGATGAAGAAGAGTTTGAAGGATTAGATCAAGATAAGCCACTTACTAAATCGAAAGTTTCTGAGAAACCTGACCTTAAAATAACAAAAGTAAGTTAATTTTTTTATATCTAAAATTCATCAAATCAGAATAATCCAGACAGAATTAGATAACCTAAATAGGGTATAACAATTTGCAGGGCTTATCACACCAAGGCCGACTGAAAGAAGGACCAGAACTTTTATAAAAAAAAGGGTTGGTCTTTAATAATCACATCACAAATTTAGGTAAGTATGCATTTCAGGTACAAGGACCCCTCATCAGNAGAAGGACCAGAACTTTTATAAAAAAAAGGGTTGGTCTTTAATAATCACATCACAAATTTAGGTAAGTATGCATTTCAGGTACAAGGACCCCTCATCAGCTTACAAACACATGGTAACAACGTAACAAATACAATACCAATAACCTGCCAATACAACGGGATAACCAATATATGCAGTGCACTGCATTTACAATTTCTCAATGTAACCCATACACTAAAACTAAAATATCAAGTAGAAATTAGAATACAATGACAATGTGGTATAACATATTATCTGGGACCATGTATTCTAATTTATTAATTGGTTATCCCATTGTATTGGCAGATTATCGGTATTGTATTTGTTACGTTGTTACCATGTGTTTGTAAGCTGATGAGGGGTCCTTGTACCCGAAAAGCATACTTACCTAAATTTGATATGTGATTATTAAAGACCAACCCTTTTTTTTTTATAAAAGTTCTGGTCCTTCTTTCAGTCAGCCTTGGTGTGATAAGCCCTGCAAATTGTTATACCCTATTTAGGTTATCTAATTCTGTCTAATTTATAGTCGTGGGCAAAAGGCATTGTTTATTATTATCAGAATAATCCAATTAGAAAAATCAAAATTATTTACATAAATAATCTCTTACATGAATACATTTCAATGTATTCATGTAAGAATACATGAATACATTGTATTCATGAATACATATTGTATTCATTTCAAAATCAGAATATTTGTTTTTGACTGTACCTATTTATAATCTATATGTATAAATGAGAATGTTTGTTTGTTTGTTCACTATACACTCCTAGGCTGTTCGACCAATTGCTACGAAACTCGGCAGTTACATTTACGTACTCTTAACTTAGACATGCCATACATTCCACCCCATAATATCAATTGTATTTGTATAAATCAATTAACATTTATTTACATTTGATTTTCTGAGTTACACATAGCACCACCTATTGGCAAAAAAGTTAACAAAATAATTAACTTACAAAAAATACAATATAATTTTTTAAAATATATATTATATTCATTGAAATACTCTGACAATGATATAGTGCGAAATATGTGCACCATTACATCATTACTATGACAGGTAGTACATAGCACTTGCCTGTGTGGAGTGTAGCAGTGTTTTGCCTCTGTAAATCACACTTTTCCTGTTAGTAATAGAGTCATGCTGGTTATGTATCTAATTCTGTTCAGGAGAAAATTTTTGTATTGAAATAACATGACTAACAGTACATATCAAAAATTTGTATATAGGTAATCTGGTCCTTTTTTCTTACAATTTCCATGTCTGGTCGCGACTTTCATCTATCAAACTCTGTTTTCAAGATTAACTCATTTGGTCCCCGTTTCTGGGCGGAATTCCACTCGGAAAACTTCCAATCTATTGATTTTTTTATATTAAATAATTATTTCCACTCAAATGCGAATCTAACAGCCAAAAAAAATTTCCACAAAATAAATACCCCTCAAAAACGTGTTTTTATAGAAAAACTATATTAAAAATTTAAATACAGTAGAGCATTGATTATCCAAATACCAATCAACTGAAACATCAGTTAACCGAAAGCATTCCAATCAGCAAATTCAAATTTCCACTAGTGCTGTGGCACAGCAAGATTTGGCTACGTATACTTTTGAGTATTATTCGAGTATTATTTTTGTTGGTGTGCATGTTTCAGATGGTAGCATTGGTGCAACCATCTGAGAGGATACTTAAGGATGCGCCAGTATTTAAACAAGGCTTCTTTTTCCCCCATTGTGAGTGGTGAGTTTTGCTTGTTTTTTGTGGTATTTTTCTGAGGAATGTGTGTTGGGACGTGTCGTGTTGTGCTGAATCAGAATGTTTTTGATACTAAATTAACTTTCGAAATATAATTTTTTTTTTTCTCTTGTTTTTATATTTTTCAATACATTTATTTTGTTTGTGCAAAATAAAGAAATCATTTTTAACGATACAAATCCACGATTATTATGCTTAAAATTTTTTGTTAGGTTTAACATAGATGAAAATTCAAAGCGAAGCAACACGCAACGGAGAAAAATTTCAACATTGGATGGGTTAATGTATTTTTTCATACATGATCAGTTATCCAAACAACCCCAGTCCCAAATTGTTTCGGATTCTAAAAAATGCTTTTATTTGAAAAATATAGCTGCAAAAATTCGCACATGTTGCTTCATTGTTTACAAACCAGATAATTTTGAAGACAACTGGTATCAGCTTTCCTGGGACATTTACCAGGAATATACGCCTCGGGAACTAGTTAAACATATATGCCTCGTGAAGATTGATTTAAAGCAGAAGGGGAACTAGTTTACCACATCTGTTCAAATATAACACAAAATTTTCGATTTTTATGCTATTAAAAGTGTATAAAAAATTCTACTCAGTAAAAACAAAAAAAAACCTGCTGATGTCATAGAAAACATCCAATAGTATTTTAAAAAATTTTACTGAATGCAAATTCATGCAATAGAAGATTAGAATGATTTAATTAATTTGATAAAAAAAATACAAAAAACTCCCGTAAAAAACAATAGCGCAATTAATTAGCTAATTAATAAAACTATATTAAAAAATTTGCAGCAAAAATAATTCATAAAATTTGCATAGGTGATAGAACTGATCCAATCCATACTTTTTTTTTTTTTTTTTTGAGACCTTTTTAAGTACCTTGCTCAAGGTAACTCTGACAAGGGACTGTGCAACTTCATGCATGTGCCTGAGATAACTTGGGCTAGAGATTTAATGCATTAAGGAAAGTCAGAGACTGATGGGTGATAGGGAGTTAATAGTTTTACAATTTTTTCAAATTGCAGTCCAATAAGTATACTCCAGTAATCAAGTAGATAAAATCACCAAACACTGGTAGTCGGTCATGGAATCATGCATGGCCAACAAACTGGCCACGTGGAATTTTTTCGCATTAGTAACACTTCGATTGGGACCAACTTTACATAAACATCTTTCCAGGATGCATCCTTCTTGTGTCACATTGCCATAACCAAATAAACCAAACTAATTCTAATGAGCAATTATTTATTGTGACATCATCACAATGCCAGGCTGCAATTTTTTTGTTACAATGTTTTCAATTCTTTTAGTGGTGGTCCTGCCCCTGCACATTATACTTTTTCTGTTAGCAATAGAGTCATGTTGGTTACCTATCTAATAGAGTCATGTTGGTTACCATCTTCATTCAGGAGAAACTTTTGAATTGAAGTAACATGACTTCCAGTCCAAACCAGAAGTTTGTATATAATTAATCTGGACTTTTGCTCTAAGCTTTCAATATCTGGTCTCAATTATCATTTATCGAACTCCTTTCTTGAAATTAAGGAAGGACAGACAGTCAGATGGAGGACAGTGGAAATTTATAGGTCTACAGTTTTTTTCAAATTGCAACCCAATAATTTTTCTATAAACATGATATTTAAGAGAACATACTTCCCAGTAGTTTATACAATCTGTTGCCAAAATACAAACACTTTATTAACACATAAAAGCAATTATTCTTGCATTTATACAAGAATTTCTTATGTAAACAAATTTTACATCAAGTCTTTCAGTCATTAAGGTTAGCAACTTTGATCACATGTGGGGCCATCACAACCTGTCTAACACAGATTATTTTTCAAATTTTAATACAGACTGGTATTGATTAGTAGTAGTTGACCATCCTCTCTTCTGGGAGGAGGTCAACGACTACTTTTGGTTGAATTACTTTGCCCCCTTCTGCAACACTCTTCCTCCTTACCAGACCCACTGGTATGGGGCATTAGAATAGGAAAATTACACAGTACAAGGTTACCAGCCTGCACAAAGTATGATTTAAATGGTTTTTGGGATGCCGAGTTTAAATATTTGATCTGTGTTTTTGTGAAATTTGATTAGTTGGCAGATTACCATTTGCTATTTGGCAGTGAATGGCACAAGTTCTTAAAGTTAACATTAGGAAAAAATATGATATCTGAAAAAATTTTAAATATATTTTCAATTGGTACTTGACCAATTATGTACCATCCGAGAATGACAATAAACATGATGGTGGTAGGCTAAAATAACCAAACTGTTTATATGGTTTTTGTTTTAATGTTCGTATAGTATAGTATTTCTATACAACTACAAAGGTTATCTTAGGTAAGGGTTTATCACACTGAGTGACCAATCTAACACATTTTAAAAAATTCTTTATTTGTCTACTGTACACAATTTTAAAGAATTTTTAAAATGTGTCAGATTTGGCACTTGGTGTGATAAACTCTCATGTAAAATAACCTTTCTATTTATAAATTAAAGACTATAATATAATAGAAGGATTAGAAGTACGAAATAATCTTAATCTTTGCTGTTATTTTTTGCCTGGGCAACACTGGGCTCATCTGTTAGTAATACATAAATTATTTAAAATATTTGTACAAACTAAAGATAGATTTAAACTGAAATGTATATCTTGAAGAGATTTTCAAATACATATTTTAAAGATCATCAAATGTAGATTTTAAAATATATTGTTTTAGAATTTCTAATTGAATAAAAAAATATTAGTTAATATAAATTTAAAAATTTTTATTTGATTGCTTTATGGAAAATGGTATTTTTAATAATTATTTGTAGAGATGTATATATGAAAGAAATAATAAATTTCATAATTCTAAATTTTAATTAAAATAATTATAATTGTATTTTTTTTTTCTATGAAATTAGGTGCCAATACATTTGAGAAGAAATTGGGAAAGTTTTTATTTGGAGTTTTTAATGATAGCAGGTCTTTTAGTCTACTTCATTAATTTTGTTGCTGGCAGAAACAAAAATCAGAAACTTGCTATGGCTTGGTTTAATTCACATAAGCAAATATTAGAATCAAATTTTGCTTTAGTGGGTATGTAAAATTTTATTAATACACAATATGGTTTAAGATGACAGCATACCTGAATTTCAGATATTTTACTAACTTTTTCAAAGTTTTGTTAACCAGATAACAGTTATATGAAAGTAGATTAAGTGTAACAGTTTAACTCATTCATAAAATTTATCAATATAAATTGTTTTGAACACTTATCTTATTAAAAAAAATTAAAAATAAGATATACACAATAATTGAATTTAGATATCATAATTAAGTATAATTATAACTGTGACATATTTTATTATTTTATATAAATAAAACCTATAAATTTCATTTATAATTATAAATTTATTGATATAAAATATTTTTAATCTATTTAAAAAAATTACAGTTATATTTTAACAGAATCATAATTATACTGAAAAATAGCTTTATTTTATTTAATATTTATCTAAGGGATAATGCAATGTTTATTTTTGAGTAATGCAAATGTTAGGCTAAAAGACCAAAAATGCTCATTGAATGAAAAAATTGACCACAATATGTTCTGACTTCTCAGATCCAACACGAAATTTGTGTTGTGGCACTTTCAAAAAGGTGCACAATGCTTTTTCACATATTCAATAAGACCTCATTAATCTTATGTTTAAGCCTTAAATTTCTAATATAGAAACTTTTATTTATCATTACTTTTTACTAATTTTAATATAAATAATTTGATTTTTCAAAAAGTTTTAACTTAATATTAATTATTATTAAATTAATTTGCATTTAAATAGAACAATAGATATTTTCTTTAGTTCAAAAAAGTATGTTTGATTAGGTATAATTTATTAAATTATCAAACATACAAATGATAAATTAATCATTTCATAAGTAAATTATGTGCTTGTCTTTTATGCACACATTTTTTTCTGTGATTGTATTATCTTATTTAACTTATGTATTAGCTTATAGCAGGATTTTATTATTATTTAATTATTTTTGATTTAATCTGTATAGGAGATGATGGAAAGAAAGAAATTGAAAATCCAGGTTTAGTAAAAGAATCTGAAAATGTTTATACTCTATGGTGCAGTGGAAGAGTGTGTGTAGAAGGGATGTTAGTTGAATTAAAGTTTTTAAAACGTCAAGATTTAGTAAATATCATGTCTAATATGTTCAGACCTGCTTCTGACCAAATAGTAAGTAAGGACTTATTATTTTGTAATGTATTTAAAAATTAAATATTTATATGATTAACATAGTGATTTGAAAAAATAAAAGTAAAAAATTATTACTTGTATAAAAATTGAAAAATCATTATATCAAAGGTATACTTTTTAGAATAAAAATCTATACAAAAATGTATGCATTTTATTGAATAAATGAGTTTCCAAATATGGGTTGAAAACTAGTGTTTAAAAGAAGAAAATTAATGTTTAGTCTAATTAAAAATGAAGTTCTAAATATTGGGTTAAATTGAAAGTTTGTTCAGATATTTACATAATCACTTGTCTGTGTCACTCTGTCATGCTTATAAAGTTTTAACTTGTTTAGGTGGACATTACAAATATTTGCATATTTATTATGTAAGTTTAATTACAACTATTTTTTAAAATTCTGTTATCTTTTAAGAAAAAAAAAACTTTAAAATAGAAGATAAGAAGGTGCATTTTCAACATCTCATGCTCTATAATTTTCAAAAAGGAAAAAATGCAACAAAATCTCATTAAAAGATATGCACTGTATATGGGGAGGATGCAGTTACTGATTGAACATGTCAAAAATGGTTTTCAAAATTTAGGATGGGAGATTTTTCTCTCAAAGATGCACCTTGGTCAGATGGCCTTCAATCATAGAAGTTGAGTCCATAACGGCTTTAATTCAAAATGATTGGCATTAAACATGAGAGATAGCCAACATCTTAAAAATATCCCAAACATCTGTTGTCAGACATTTGGCTAGCCTTGGATACACTTTCCATTATGATGTTTAGGTTCCCCATCAGTTAAGTGAACGAAACCTTATTGAGCATGTTTCTGTTTGTGATTCATTTTTAAAATGCAATGAAGGTGATTTATTTTTAAAGCGATTAATAACAGGTGATGAAAAATGGATCATTTACAACAATATTTAATGCAAGAGATCTTGAGTAAGCCAGGTGATCCTCCAGTGCCACAACATAAAGCTGGTTTGCATCCCAGAAAAGTAATGATTTCAGTTTGGTGGGATTGGAAAGGGTTCTTTATTATGAGCTTTTACCCAACAACCAAACAATTAATTCCAATACATATTGTCTCCAACAGGATGAACTACAGGCTGCAATGCATCAAAAATGTCCAGAACTTGCAAATCGGCAGGGAGTGATATTCCATCATGATAATGCAAGACCACACATATCATTAAACATGCACCAAAAACTTTTAGACTTTAACTGGGATGTTTTGAGTCACCCTGCATATTCTCCAGATATGCTCCTTTAGATTATCATCTTTTTTGTTTGTTGCAGAATAATTTAAATGGCATAAAATTTCAATCTGTAGAAGGTATCAAAAATCACATTGATAATTTCTTCAATCAGAAACCCACCCAATTCTACACAGATGGAATTATGAAACTACCTGTCAGGTGGCATAAGGTTATTGAACAGAAGGGTGAATACGTTGTGGATGAAAGAGTTTTATTTATTTCAAAATAGTATACTGTATTTACTTAAATATAAGACGAGGTTTTTATTTATTTTTCATTGCTTCAAAAACTAGGTCAACCTATATGTGTGAGTAAAGGATTTTTTGCATTTTGCAATAATTTTTGTGAACCATGTGTTTGCATTTTTTACCGGATGCTTTAAAAACAAAAGTATTTTATCATTTTATCAAGTCATTTCAGTCATTCTTGTGTATTGTCAGGAATAAAGATGAATAGCAATAGGAAAATCAAAGCTTTTGAATTGAATTCCAAATTAGAATTCCAAAATCACACAGGAGCCCGATATAAGTTTTAATCCATTCCCACAGATGATTATTTGGAAATCAGAATTCAGAGAAACTCATAAGTGTAATTGATGGAGAGTGGATTTAACTGTTAAGAATTGGCAAAATGGTTCCTGGTTGTCCAGCTTTACATGAACAAATTATGTTGTCAATTTTACAAGATTTTTCTGTAAAGTTTCTGAAAAGAAGCTATTGAATAGTCAATAGTTTTTGTTTTTTAATTAGAATTTAAATATGAATAGATTAAAAAACAAAAAACTATGGTAATAAGAAATATTTGAAGCTAAAAATATTTAATTTCTTGCAAAAATAACAAAACAACATATTGATTTCTTTAAGTAAGAACTAATAATACATATAAGAAACTCATTTTATATGAAATGCATGATATATTGATAAATTTATCCCCACTGTTGATCTGTTACAACTGTTCATAAAGGTGCTTTAATGAAGCATATTGTCACTATAAAATGTTTTTGGAATCTTTAAAAGTTACATATAGAATAAAATAAAATTTTTATCAGTATAGAATGTATCATATGTAAATTAAAACTTGAATTAATGCAAAAATATAAAATAGTAGCGTTCTAATTATCCAAAGTATGATGAACTTGAGGATACTTCGGATACTATATTTTATGGCATATAAGATACATCCATATTTCAACACAGAATATGTAGAAAAAAAATTATTCTGTATTTAGGACATCTATTACCTTTGGAACTAAGCCTCAAATTTTTGCTGTATTCTGGGTAAAAAAAGAAAAAAATTGGAATGAACACTTTTATTTTTCAGGAAAAATGAAGAGTTTAAAAGAAGTTATCTACAATTAAAACTTACTATTAAATTCTACTACATAAAATACATGAATAAGCTGCTTGGATATAGCTAAAAAATAATAATTAAACAATAACATTTTTATTAAAAAAAAAAAGAATTGAGCCAGTGGAGGTTAGATGTAGCTTGCCGAAGGCTGTTTGGGAAATTTATTAATCTCTAGGAGATTGCAACTTCACCTATAAGATACAGGATTTTTTTCTTTTTTGACAAAAGTTTCATTTTATATGCCATAACATCTTGAATAACATGAAATATTAATATTTGGGGAAAGTTATTAACAAAATACAAGCAAGTTGTTATAAATCAAAGTTTTATGACAACTCACTGGAATCCATTAAAAATTCAGTTTTGATCAGAATATGACTTGCTAATTAGAATATGTTATAATCATTAGAATTTTGAATCACATTCATGCTGAATAAAATCTCTAAATATTTTATTAAAATCTCTAAATGCTATTCATCTCTTTCTTTTTAAACTTTACAAAATATTTAAGGAATAAATATTTTGTAATTTGAGAAATAAATTTATTTAAAATTAAAATTATTTATTTTAAATCAGTTTATAATTTTTACACATTACTTTTCAAATATCTCACTGAATATAATATTCTTAAGAGAAGACTCATTTCCATCCATTTAAAAAAAAATATTTTAAAAAGATTTCACCCTGGACAAAATTACTTCACAAAGTAAATTGTCATACCTGCATAATGACAGTTTGTTTGATCAATTTTTTTTTCATTATACAAGTATGATTATAATTAAAACTTGCTTTATCATTTTTAAAATATGTATTTCATGAGAAGTCATTAGAATAAAATTTTTTTTTTAAACTTCTAGAATCTTTTCAAGTGGCTAGGCAATCCTTCATTGCCTAGCCAAGATTTATGAAACAAGCTGTACTGTTCTGTGTTTCCTTATCTTTGTTCGTACAGTAGTCTTGAATAGTTCATCCTGATAATGCAGAACCTCAGTAAAATGGGTTTTGTTAATTGGGATTCCACTATAGTTCACCATTTCACCATATCTATCCCACTTAGTTTAATGCTTGATTATGTATGCTACTGATATTATTATGAATCTTGTAGGCTAAGTATATTCCAGTCCTTTTGTAATTTTTATTATATTTATAAGATATTCATTGAGTTTATCTTTATTATTTGTCACATTAAATTGTTTTTCATTTACCACTATACAGATGTTCCTCATACAACACTCTCTAACACAGTTTGAGAATTGGAAAATTCTCCATACAAAATTTCACAATTTTTATGTACAAGCTCTGTTATTCTATATTTTTTTCTTCAAGTAAGCATGCCTGTTGTCTGAAATTTGCCTACAGATTTTAGAATATTGAAATTTTTAATTTGTTTTTTGCCTTTTTGTCAGGTTTACTTTAATGAAAACTGTTAGTGCAATTTTTTTCTTACTTGTCCTAGCTTTCTTATCAACTGGGTGTTGTTGCCATTTTCAGATTTTAGCCTTTAATTTAAGACTCACTGTGTTTTGTTTTTATAGATTAATCTTTGTATTTAGTAAAGTTTATTTAAATGTTTTTAGGTAAGTGTAATTAAACTTTTTTTAACCATAGGTAAGCTACCATTTGTAAAAATGATGAATGAAATATGGCAGTATCTTGGTACTTGAACTGTTCCCAACTCAAACAATTTGGTATTTGAACACAAATTCTGGAAAAAATCGCTTGGTACTTAACTGAACAAACACAACTTGCTAGAACAAATTTTTGATTAATAACATATTTTTATTTTGTCATACATAAAAAATTTTTATGGTAGAAATATTTAAAAAAATGAAGACATTGCTGATATTTCTGAACCAAGATCAACAAAAAAGTTTAGATGACAATACTTTGTAAAAAGAAAATGCTTTTGTTTAATTAAAATTAGTATTCAATGCATAAAACATTACTTTTAATTGTGATTGTTAGTTAATTATTGATTGCTTTAATAAACATGTTTCTCTTAGTAACGAAAAACAATAATATACTTTTGTTAACTTTTGGAATCTAACCCTAGTCCCAGGGTGGCCAAGCTCCTTGATAGTCCGAGCCATTTTTCAAAATTTGAAATTTTTCGCGAGCCGCAATTAAATACGTATTAAAAAGGTATGCAAAAATTCCAGATTACAAATTATATCCGTAGCAAGAGTGATACAAATTGTTTCCTCCAGAGCACAATGTCAACTGTNTGCTATAACCATGAGCTGTGGTGATGTGTTTAATACATTGTATTTCTTGTAGTGTGTCCTTGACATTGCAATGGGCAAAAGCTTTTCGAAGCAGAGCCCTGTACACTGCTGTGTTTTAAATATATGGGTTGTTAAATATTGAATAAAATAATTGTTTGTGATATTTAAAAACTCTAGTCAGTTTTACATGTCACAAGAAGGAAAATATGTACATTTAAAATTAAATAAATATACAAGTACATTTATGAATTACTATTTTGTAGTGGAAAAACTAATTTTCAACTGCATTTCATTGTCAACAAATAAAATTTAAATAATATTAGAAATAATATTACAAATAAATACCTGCATATCAAACTGGGATAATTATAATATAACACGTTCCAAAACCAATAACCGGTGCAAAGTAAGGTTAAACAACAGAAATGTTTGTTATTTGTTGTTTAACCTTATTTTGCATTGATTATTGGTTTTGGAGCATGTTATATTAATATTACAAATATTTGTTCTTTTAAAATATTATTGACTAGTTAAGTAAAAATATCAGAAATTTAGATTATTAAATCTGTAACATTTTGATTCAAATGCATTAAATAATATATTGTTTCAAACTGTAAACTTAAACAATAATAAAACATAATTAAAATTAGTAAAAAGGCATTACTTATGATAATTTTAGTAAATATTGCAACACAACTTCATTGCATATGATTTTCACATGGTATTTTGATATGAAAAATAGCCTCTCATAAAGACAAAAACTGATAAGAATGCTCTGATGTCAGAAGTGTAGAATAAGTTCATCAGAAACTGTGCTTTTCTACAAACCAGTATAGTATTATAGCTGATAAACAACTGATGTTTCCTAGCAATACTAATTATAAATTTACACAATACATATCAAATAAGCCATTAAATTCAGAATAATGTTCTGGATGCTTTTTGATGTATATGTACTGTACAACATATTTCCTTATCTGGGAAAAGAATGATATACATTCTGAGAACAAGTCTCTGAAAATGTGATCATAAAATTAATGAAAATATATCTTTTCCCTTTTCCCTTTCCACCTAATCATGAGGTTTATTAGAGGGGTGATACTGTTCTAAAACAAAAAGGATTTGGACCTTCACAATTGTGTACAATAGCTTATAAGAAAAATGTAGCAATTAATTTTAAAGATACTAACACCCTAAATCAGGCCTGGAAATTTGTTGAGATTTTAATTTTCTACATCACTACAATTTTTTTTAAGTTAATAATAAAAACTTAAAAAATTGTAGTGATGTAGAAAATATATTACTGTATTTACTTGCTATAACACGAGGTTTTTATTCATTTTTCACTGCTTCAAAAACCTAGGTTATCATATATGTGCGAGCAAAGGATTTTTTGCGTTTTTGCAATAATTTTTGTAAATGTGATGCTCACCTTCTGGCATTTAAAAACAAAAGTATTTTATCTCGGTTGTTTCAATCGTTCTTGTGTATTGTTAGGAATAAAGATGAATAGCAATAGGAAAAGCAAAGCTATTACAATCTACATTTTCCAGCACTCATTTCCTTGTAGATAAAAAGCCAAAATACCCCCAAGAAGATACGGATGGAAACCATGAAGATGTCTGTATGTCACCAGTTCTTTTTAAAAAATTTTTGTATTTCTAACTGGATATATTTTTTGTGTTTTTAAAAGGACTTTTTAGCTTTTTGGCAGCCAGTAGCCTAAAAAGAAAGGTCAGTCACCAAGAATGTGTAGTCTGGAACACAAAGTTAATAAATGGTGGTCCCTTTTGGGTGGACTCTGTCTTCAGATATTTATTTATAATATAATTGCCATAGAAAATCTACAAAAGCAAAGCTTTTGAATTGAAATTCCAAAATCACACGGGAGCCCGATATAAGTTTTAATTCATTCCCATGTGAAAACATGATTATTCGGAAATCAGAATTCGGAGAAACTCGCATGTAATCGACATAGAGTTGATTTGACTGTTAAGAATTGTCAAAAAGGATTCCCGATTGTTCAACTTTACATGAACAAATTATGTTGTCGATTTTACAAGATTTTTCTAAGGTTTAAAATGCCAGTAATTTTTGCGGGATAATATGTGCATTTGACATTTTATTTGTGATTAAATGAAATAAAATTAAATTGTATTAATAAATCTAATTTTCTTTATTTTGATCTTTAAACGTGAGATCATCTTATAAGTGAGCAAATATGGTATTTTATTTCTTTCTAAAAACCGAGCGAACTTTTGGTGTAACCCAATATATCTGTAAAAAGTTATAAAATCAAGTTAGTTATAAGTTAAAGTTATAACTAACTTGATTTTATAACTTACTGGTATATGTCTTTTATCTGCTTCTTTGAGTTTTTCTGACATTGTTTTTGGAATACTTTATTATTGGCATACTATTAATGGAATATTACAATTATTGAACTATACCTTGTAAATATTTTTAAATAAAATTATTCATATATTCAAAAGAGATATACCAGGAATGTGTGTAGTAAACTGGAAAAATATAACAACTTAATTTTATTTTATAACTGTACAGTGCCCATATAAATGTATGAACAAAATAAAGCCAAGAAAGTATTTTTATAGCATTTAATTATAATATCAGATAGTAATTTTGCCAAATACAAAGCAAATTTAATCACAAAAGAGTATGAAATCAAAGCATCAAAGTGTCATATTCCACCAAAGGTAGGATAATATGGCCATATGCAAAAATGTTAATGGTTAGTGCCAAACCAGTTGGCATTATTCTTAAAAGAATAACTACAGGGTAACTATTTTATTTAAAATAATTATACAAATTAAAGACAATAGCCCTAGCTTGACTGTACAAGGTTTCTCCTTTTTAGCTACAATAGCATTATTGATCACTATTTTTCTGACTAAGGCATGGCATCACTGATATTGTTATTTGCTTTATTTTAATTTATACTGTTAAAATCTGTTTTATAATAAGTTTTATAATACAGTAGAGCATCAATTATCTGAAACAATTCAGGACTGTGGTTTGGATAACTGATTTTTCAGATAACTGATCCTTTATGAAAATATATTAAACACAAAACTGTACTGTACTGTACATATTTTGTATCACACGTCTTACAAATACATACCTTACATAAAGTAGTACATTAAAGTAGGCCTACAGTTTAGATTGGCAGGGAAGGGGAGAGTGCTGCAGCACTACAGCACTAGCAGAAATTTGAATTTGCCGACTGGAACACTTTCGGTTAACTGATGTTTCAGTTGATTGGTATTCGGATAATTGATGCTTTACTGTAATTGAACAGACTATAATAAATATTTCATAAATTTAATGATGTTGATGTAAATTTTTTTAATAAGTCAGCATGCTCAAAGCTGAGATACAGTGGTACCTCAGGTTACGAACGCCCCAGCATACGAAATTTTCAGGATACGACATGAAATTCGAACATATTTTTGCTCCACGATACGAACAAAAACTCACCATACGACGTTTCATTAGTTCGCATTTTTCATTTGTTTTTCTTACTACAGTTATCTTTTTAAATGTATTACTTGGCTTTAATTTAAGTATGTTTTTCACGTTGAAACGAATTATTTAGTTTTACATGTAATCGTATGGGAATAGATGATTCACCTTACGACATTTTCATGATACGATCTCAGTTTCGGAACGGATTAATTTCGTATCCTGAGGTACCACTGTAATTATATAGTTATTTAAATTGAGCCAAATTTATATGACAAGTATTATTGGCTCTTTTATTTTTATGAGAGTAAATAAAATGATTCAATCAAATAAATTTTCAGTTATATGAATATATAAAATTTACAATTTATTATGTAATGAACATTATTTCTCTGGAATCTTAATGGTTTTCAATTTTAATTGACATTTATAATATAATTAACATATGATATTACATTGTAAAATTGAAATTTCTTTTATAGCATATCAAGGTACAAATGAATGTTGATGCAATGGATACATTTGTTTTTTGCATAGCTCATAAAAAAGTTGCTGCTCGTATGGTTAAAGAGATTAATGACTTGGTAATTTTTCTCTTCTCATTTTTCAAAATATTTTTACAGCTAGTAGAATTCACTGTAATTAAGTTTATTTAACATTTACAGATTATTATTTAAAAAATTATCTTTATATTTAAAAATATTAACTAAAGTAATTTACATTTTATTATTTCTAGAGTACTTATTGTCCAGAGAGAAAAACGGCTGAAAAATATGGGCTTTCTTCTAATTTTACTATAATGAGTGAGATTGGAGAAGCTACAAGTGCCATTTTAGATAATAAGGTATACTTTTTTAATATTATATTAAATTTATTTTAATGTAACAGTATAATGTTATTTTATTTAGGCAATGGAATTGCAAAAAATGATGTAAAGTTTTTTAATAAGTCAGCACATATAAAGCTAAGATAACAATTATTTGAATTGAGCCAAATTTAAATGACAAGTGTTATTGGCTCTTTTTATTTTGATATTTATGAGTAACTAAAGTGATATTTTTTAGCATAGGACTATTATCATTTTTTATCCTAAATAAAAAAATAAATGTAAATTAGTTTAAATTAAATGAATTAATTAATTTTTTATTTTTAACTGTAACTTCATATAAAATAAAACCTGTGTAAACTAGAATTGCATGATAATAGATTTATTTCTTTTGTTTTGAACATGTTTTAATATTTAAACTGTAACAGATAAATATATACAGTTATGTTTATTTTTATAGTATAGTTACTTTTATTTCATATGTAAGAAACATTTTATTATATTAACAATCTAAAGTGATTCCAAGTATATATATATGGGTGTATTCAAATGAAAAAATGAGATCTATGCATGTGACCTAGAGTCATGTAATAGTATGCAATTCTACTGTACTCAGATTTAAACTAAACTATTTAAACTAAAGTTTAAGGATGCCTACTCCTTTAAATGGATGTGGTTCCATGGAAACATGTGCTAGTTTGCATGTCAGGAGTGCATACAGTGATTTCAAGTTTGGCTACTTCTTTACTCTTGACACCAAAAAAAAGTTGGTACCTTGGCTACATGCATGCGTATGTTAATGTAACTCAAAATCATACATCATACTCTACACAAAAGTATCAGGACCAGTCAGGATGTTGCTCAGAAAAGGTGATGATTCTGTAAACGAAAGTGATGTTCAGTCACCTTTCTTTCAGAATGCAATAGTCATAGTAGACACCATAAGCCACTATCTTCAATTTGAAAGTGATATACAGATGAATATCTAAAGATAAAATTTGCAATTGAAAAAATATATATTTTCTACTTTTTCAAGCAATCTTCAACAGAAAAAACATCATAGATTTCTTTTAGCTTTGTTTAACCACTTTGATATACTGCTCCATACTTGAATGGCAAATATCATCTCCTCCTCATTTTGTTTGATTTGAAAATCATTTAGAACATCAGTTTGTTTATTGTAAATAAATTTAACTTTATTTAGTAAATTAATTCAAAATTTATAATTTAGAGATTTTGATTGCCTATTAAGTTTTAACTCCCTAAATCAGGGGTGTCCAACCTTTTTGTTTCTCTGGGCCGCATTGGAAGAAGTCAAGGAGTTTTGGGCCACAAGTATATATAATATATACCAGGGGTGGCCAACAAGTCGATCGCGATCGACCGGTCGATCGCGATCGACCGGTCGATCGCAAAACCAATTTTGGTCGATCGCTCGCGATGTCTTGACTTAACGTGTTACACTTGTAAGTTGTAACCGAACGTAACGCGCAAACGCAACTGTAGTGATATCGGACCTCCTCGTTCTCCCTCAGATGCGGTTTTGTCGGTCCATGTGCAATCCATTTGCGTACAGTTGTAAAAGGGAAATAAGAAATGTAGACAAAGGGTCGTAAAATCGAAAAAAAGAAGGGACAAAGAGAGTAGGTCGGGACATGGTAGAGAGAGGAAGGGTGAAGGGGTGGTCCCCGAAAGTGACAACGTTTCAATTTTTCTTCTGTTTAAAATGTAAGTACCTTTTCTTCGTGTTTTGAATTAAATTGTGGCTTTTCTTATCTATCTAAACATAGTATGTATTTCACACCTCCCTCCCCCTTGCCACTTAGACC